TCACAAGGAGGCCGGAGTAGTTTTCGGGGCATTTTTAGGATTTTCCTACTATTTATTACATTTTTTCAAAGGTTTTTGCACTAAAAAAGCCAAAATAATCGCAAGAGGACACCTGGCGCGATCTCAGCCCATCACCTTTCTCCACTTGCACACGTGTACATCAGTCAACATGGCCACATCCTTGCCTTTTATCCTAAATTATTATTTTTTTATTTTTTCTTAGAATACACCCAGATTGGTGGATCCAATCACGGCCGAGCAATATGTTGTAGTCGACGCTGGACTCGACTACGTAGAAGGCCGCGACTCTTGTTTGGTCGACCACGGTAATCTTTAACGGCAACACGCCGATGGTTTTAGACTTATCGCCGACAAAGCTGCTCATGACCACGTCGCTGGGGATGAGGTCCTCCTTTGACTTGTCTAGCTTCCTCATCAAGTAATAAGGAAGGATGTTGACCGTTGCCCCGTAGTCAACGAAAACCTTGGATACGGGCACACCCTCTATATGAGCTGAGATGTATAATGGCTTAAGATGTCGGTATTTGTTCGGCTCGTCTCTAGGTATTACTTCGTTAAACGCCACAGCCAATAACTCTTCCTTTGTCTTTGGCCTCTGATCAAGCTGCTCCTCGGCCACGTCATCATCCAGGCCGTTGGTCTGTCCTCTTGGGGCTGAAAACTCGAATGGTAGTACCAGGACCATGTTAATGTCGACCTCCTTAGGCTCCTGCGGGTTTCCCCTTCCAGCTTCCTCTTCGGCCACGCAGCCGTCTTTGGCGAGAACCTTTTCCTCGACAATTCCGAGGATCCCCTCATATCCCCTAGTTTTATAACATCACAAGGAGGCCGGAGTAGTTTTCGGGGCATTTTTAGGATTTTCCTACTATTTATTACATTTTTTCAAAGGTTTTTGCACTAAAAAAGCCAAAATAATCGCAAGAGGACACCTGGCGCGATCTCAGCCCATCACCGTTCTCCACTTGCACACGTGTACGTCAGTCAACATGGCCACATCCTTGCCTTTTATCCTAAATTATTATTATTTTATTTTTTCTTAGAAAATTCATAACTAAATAAACAAAATTTGAAAAAATATTCCGAAAATTGCTACGAACTCATTGAGACTCCATCTCCCTTACTTAATTCCCCGATTCATGGTTACACATTTTTAAAAATAATTCTGAACATTCACGGGAGGTGCTTGTTGATGTAGGTTAATGAAGTTAAAGTTAACAAACATATATACTTTGGGTTAAGAGGAAAGTGAGTTATGTAAAAAAAAATTGTTTTTTCCATTGCGAAATGGATGATTTATAGGTTCCCCTAGTTTTATAACGTCACAAGGACGCCGGAGTAATTTTCGGGGCATTTTTAGGATTTTCCTACTATTTATTACATTTTTTCAAAGGTTTTTGCACTAAAAAAGCCAAAATAATCGCAAGAGGACACCTGGCGCGATCTCAGCCCATCACCGTTCTCCACTTGCACACGTGTACGTCAGTCAACATGGCCACATCCTTGCCTTTTATCCTAAATTTTTATTTTTTTATTTTTTCTTAGAAAATTCATAACTAAATAAACAAAATTTGAAAAAATATTCCGAAAATTGCTACGAACTCATTGAGACTCCATCTCCCTTACTTAATTCCCCGATTCATGGTTACACATTTTTAAAAATAATTCTGAACATTCACGGGAGGTGCTTGTTGATGTAGGTTAATGAAGTTAAAGTTAACAAACATATATACTTTGGGTTAAGAGGAAAGTGAGTTATGTAAAAAAAAATTGTTTTTTCTCATTGCGAAATGGATGATTTATAGGTTCCCTAGTTTTATAACGTCACAAGGACGCCGGAGTAATTTTCGGGGCATTTTTAGGATTTTCCTACTATTTATTACATTTTTTCTAAGATCTTTGCACTAAAAAAGCCAAAATAATCACAAGAGGACACCTGGCGTGATCTCAGCCCGTCACCTTTCACCACTTGCACACGTGTATGTCAGTCAACATGGCCACATCCTTGTCTTTTACCCTAAATTATTATTTTATTAATTTATTCTTAG